TCTTATCAAAGATAAAACAATACAAACAAAAAAAATTAAAACAGTAAATAACGATACTGTCATAATTAACTGCATGAATGAAGAGAGTATTAACACTATAGAAAAAACATTACACAAAAAAATACACCCTTTTGCTAAAATTGAAAAAGAGCAAATTAGGAAATCAACAGTTAAAGTTACTGGCATCAGCAAATCTTTCACACAAAATATGCGAGACATTGAGTCAGATATAAACCAAAGAAATTTCCACAATTATGATGACAAAGGTAAAGTAATACACACATACACAAATGAGAAATTGCAAACTATGACAGTTATAATGGAGGTATCAGCTAATTTATACAAACACATTAGAGAGAATAAAAGCAGACTTTTTGTTGGTTGCCAAAACTGCAAAGTCTATGACATTATAAATACAAGCCCTTGTTATAACTGTGCTAGGTTTGGACATAGTGGGAGCAGATGTAAAAATGAAGCCACGTGTTACAAATGCGGCGGTAATCACACTGGTAGTCAATGCAACAATAAAACACAAACATGTCCTAATTGCACATACCACAATACTAAATACAAAACTAAATTTGATACTAAACACAGTGCAATTGACAGCCAATCTTGTGAATTTTAAAAGCAAAAATAAACAAATACATTGAAATGACAGACTACCCGATAATGCCAACGCACCAACGCTACTTCGGAAAAATAGAACACCCGACTACAGAAAAACCAACAATTAACGCGCGTCCTGCTCTATCAAGCGGCGCATCATTAGCGTCATTAGCCTCCATATCCTCGCTCAACTTACATGGTAACAATAATACGAAATACAAATAAAAATGCATCCCATCGATGAAAATAATAGCAACGAAATTATTATTAATAACACTGATGAATTAAATGAGCACATAATAACAGAAAAGGAAATTATTATCTGTGTTAATATCAGAAGTTTGAATGCCAATTACACCAAACTTCTAACATTTATAAACAACCTACAAAAAAAACCAAGTGTTATAATATGTACTGAAACATGGAATTTACAACATTTCCTAGTCTTCAATATTGAAGGATACAGTATGTACTTTAACAACAGTAGTATTAATAAGGCTGATGGCGTGGTGACCTATATCAGAGACGACATAATTGAATCAACAGAAATAATTCAAATACAAAATTTAAAAATTTTACAAACTACAATACAGTTAGAAAATGAAAAAACTATACTGTTAGCAGCTATATACGGATCACATGACCTACACAAACCACAATTCATACAATCGATCAAAACATACATAACTCAACACATAAAGAAAAAAAATTCAATACTAATAGGCGATTTCAACTGCGACATTTTAAGCCAAGATCCTTGGGATCAAGAATTCTTGCAAATGTTAATGGAAAAAGGACACCATCCAGGATTTAATACGATTACCAGACCTTCGCTGGACAACAACAACAGTGGAACATGCATAGATAATTTTTTTATAAAAACACCCCGTTCAATAACCATTATCCACTAATAATGGCGTTGCAAAACCAAACAAAAAGCATAAATCACTCACATAATAAAAAACAAATTAATTACCGAAAACTTCAACATATAGCTCAAACTATAAACTGGAATGAAAATAGTGAAAATAATGATACAAATCAATCTATCAATAACTTAATCATGAAAATACAATATTGCCTTAAACAGGCAGAAAAGAAAAATGTCATAAACAAAACTATTAATAGCTTGAAGCCAAGAAAAAAATGGATCACCAAAGGCATAATAAACTCATGTAAAACTAAAGGAAACCTATATATTGAATGGAAAAATAATCCTCACGATACAACAAAAAAAAATAACTATAAAAATTTTATCAAAATTTTAGATAAGATAATTACAATAGCAAAAGAAAATTACGATAAAAAAATCATAGAAATGGTGCAACATGATCCTAAAAAATTATGGTCAGTTGTCAACAACAAACTAGGGAGAAATACTCAGAATAACAAAACTATTGATTACATCACGGACAAAAATAATAGAATCACCAATCTAGAAGAAATTGCAAACAAAATGAACACATTTTTTTGTGAAATCGGAACGGAACTTAGCAATAATATAATACAACCGCAAAATGCAACGCTCAACCTCCCAAAAATAAACCCGAAAACAATATTTTTAAATTTTACAAATGAACAAGAAGTAAAGAAAATAATTGGCAGACTAAAAAACAAAAAAGGAGGAGTTGATGGAATTAATTCATTATTATTAAAATCATTAATCCACTACGTATCTGAACCACTTGCACTTGCTATAAATAAGTGCATTATTAATGAAACTTGGCCTGATGCTTTAAAAGAAGCGGATATTATACCAATCCACAAATTAAAAGAAAAACATTTAGCAAATAACTACAGACCTATTTCTCTAATCTCCAACATAGCTAAAATCTTTGAAAAAATAATACATAGAAGAATTCAATCTTTCATTGACAACTGTAATTTGCTTTCCACAAATCAATTTGGCTTTCGAAAAAACAGAAGCACAAAACATGCACTAAATTATATTTCAAACAACATTTATGAACAATTAGATGCAAGTAAACCTATAGCAATAACTTTTCTGGATCATGCCAAAGCCTTCGACACAGTTGACCACAAGATACTGTTACAAAAATTATACAACTATGGTATTAGGGGTAGTGCCTATAACCTTATCAAAAGCTATCTAACAAATAGAAAACAACGTGTGAAGGTAAATAATGCAAGTAGCGATAAACAAATAGTAAAAATGGGCGTTCCACAAGGAACTATACTGGGTCCGCTACTTTTCCTACTATACATAAATGATCTACTAACGATACTACCAGAAAAATCCATACTATCTTTTGCTGACGATACAGCAATCATAGCAAAAGGTAAGAATTGGAAAGAAGCTGAAACTAATATGAACAGTTATCTAAAAATAGTGGGAATTTGGAAATTACCATGACAGTACGCCAAAAAACCTGAAAATTGAAATCTTAGGACATCCAATACACCGAGTTGAAAACACAAAATATCTTGGAGTTACTTTTGACAGTAATATGAAATGGGATTTACATCTACAAATCCTATACCAAAAAACAAAATATCTAACATTTGTTCTATATAAGCTATCAAAAATAATGAATACTAGTACATTAAAAATGATCTACTACGCACTCTTTCACAGCATAATGACCTATGGAATTATAGCATGGGGAGGAGCGTACACAGGTCGAATTAAAGTAATACAAAACTTACAAAACAAATTACTAAAAATAATCTATAAAAACCAATTTGTGACACATGAATACCCACTTAACTTAGATCAATGCTTTTCGTTGGAATCTCTACTATTCCACTATGATACTTTTAAGGACAAATATATTGGAAAAGAAAGAAAAACAAGATTCGCCTCAATCCAACACCCAAAAAGAACACTAACTATCAGCATAAAAAACAGTTATGTAAGAGCAATTATGTTATACAATAAACTACCTAATGACTTAAAAACAATTAGCAACACGACAACAAGGAAAAACAAACTTAAAAAATGGATCAAAGGAAACCCAATATGGCAAATAGATTAAACTGCAAAAATATAAAACAATTAATTGATCTCTATGGTACTCTGTATCCGACATCGGAAGTCCATGAGGATGCAGTAAACCATAACAAATTAATACTAGATATTAGAACATTTATTTGTGCAAATAACAATTGCAATTTATCTCATATAAGATCACACAAAAGAATCACTCAGTATAACTATGAAAAAATGCTGAAAGGATCAACACAAGACATCAACAGGATCACAAAGCTAGCTAACAGCCTCTTGAATAATATGAAAACAAAGACAGCTACACAAATTAAAAGAATAAAATTTACCAAGTCCACACTCGAAGAACATAACATAAACAGTAATAACAAAATGTCCATAGAAACAGTTTTCGATGCCATTGATGAGATGGCAAATGAAAATAACTATAGAGCACTGTCAAGAAAACCGATGCCAGCCCCTGGAAAACTGATAGAACAATCAAATTGTATCAGAATGACCTATGGAGACATAAACTATCTAGGCAACAATAAAGCCCTGTTAAATTTTGACAGAGGTATTCAAGGAGCACAAATTTTCAAGAACTCAGCATCACCTCTAGAATATCAACCACAACACCTAGACATTGTAGTTGTCCAACCGCTCCATCGCCGGCCACCAAATATCGAAAATGAATTCAAGCGCGCGTACATGCACGTTTCCCCTCTTCGGCTGCTATAGGCCGACGATTGCCGAGTGTCGTCGACTGTCTGGGCACGCTTGGAGGGGCGGCGGAGGAGAGCGAAACTATACCGCGCCTTCCCCAGCCTTCCCCTTCTACCTTATTCACGTAAAGTTTCTTATTTATTTTTTATCTCAACATTTTACACTCATCGATGTCGGGTTAAACATTGTTTCTGATGTAAAATTTCACGCTCTTTCGATTGGTGCATGTTATTTTGTCGTACGTTCAGCCGTTCGCGAGAAACAGGCGAAAACAAGTTTCAAATGTGATTTTCTCATAGAACCCCTGGACCTAGAACTCTGCAAATTTCAGAATCGTCTTTTTCGACCTCATTTTACCATATATCAAAAATGCATCCACTTCCGTGACAAAAACATTTCAGGCCTATTTTTATTTGACTAGCAGTGTCACATATTCCTTTATATATTTTATAACAGTATTTTATAAAAAAAGATCCTCAGGAATACATATAAGCGAGAATGTTTTTAAAAAAATTAATTTAGTGATATTCAAATTTGTTTACAAAAAAAGTTAATACTTTTTGTAACATAAAAAATTATCGTTTATCGTTGTAAATATTTTCAAAGCTTAAAGCTTTACATGTAATTAAATATCTACTTTTATTTTTATTAGCTTTTAAAATATATCCTTTTGAAAAATTTTTATCATTAAAAAAACTCTTAATGTAAATGCTTCACTATAACAATTCAGGAACATGACAACGTGTGTGTGCGTGTGTATAAAACAATTGTTCAATTTGAAAAAAATTCGTTACCCAGTGTTCTTAAGCTGACTGAAATAGCTAAGAATTACACAACTGTTCATTAATCGATCAATTGAACAACTTTTCTAAAACTTCTCATTAAAATTTGTCATCATTAAAACCGTACTAGCAGAAAGAGATTTTATGAAAAAAAGGTCAATATATGAAATTTATAATATTAAGTGGTTATGTTATCCGATTTTAAAATCATTCTACGAAATACCACGAAATATCACGAGATACAACAATCGCCAACTCAATAATTTCCCTTTAATGTCGTTTTATATTTATTATGCGATTTGCATAGATCAAGATTGTGTCTGCTCTTACATATTATTCTTAATTTAGTTGCTCAGAAAACTGTTCGTCATTCAATTGATTTTATTTTACGAATTCATTTTATTGAAAAATAAAAAAAAAAACAGTTTTTTAACTTTTCAAGATAAATGCATTTTTTTCTGTATCAGTTTTATAGTTGTTTTGTAAATAGAATAAAAATCATTGAAAATAAATATAAGTAAGATAGAAAAATGTTGTTACTATTAAAAAATATGATTACTTTGCAAGCCAAAACACTAAGAACTCTCTCATGAAGATTCATTATGGGATAATTTCCACATTTGTATCGATTCACTGCAGGATCAGTGTGTAATCCTACAATCAAATAATCGCCTTCTTTTTTTGCAACTTCCAAGAAATCTAAATGTCCAACATGAAATAGATCAAAAGCCCCAGCAACATAAACTACATTGTCATGAGTTTGAGGACTTTTTCCATCACTAAATTGTATAATTTTTTGAGTAGTAGGTAAAAATTGGGAGCAACCTGTCCATGGACTACGAGCTTGTTTGTCTTGACCCATTATTTTGCTTGGCTCTTTTTCTACTGTGTACTCACTCTCACCTTGGCGAAAGTGCTGTCTAGTCATCAACAACATGCGTCCAACAAGGTCAGTGGTGGATACTCCTGCTGTTCTTTGGACTTCCCTGCAATTGAATATACACTTCAAATTTATAATATATATAGTATTTACACTCATGCTAGATACTTTATTCATGTTAAAATTTGTACAGTAATTTTGTTATTTAAGACCACATAACAAAATACCAAGAATCTAATTACTTTTACCTGTATCTTCCAGCAGCTTTAACAAAATGATAAGTATCAACACCATCTGCAGTCCTTGTGATGTCATCACCGTGGACACAGAAATCACAATTATATTTATCCAATGTCTCCAATGTTGTCACATAAGGAGCACCTTCAACAACTTCATCGACCCATTTTATGCCACGTACCATTTTGTATCTTGAATATAAATAAAAATAATGTTAAATCATGACAGATCTAGAAATACAAATTTTAAAATGAATTTTACAATAGTATACACTTTAATAACTATGATTATTTAGTAAATTAAATTGAGTTTAATACAATAATTATAAATTATTTATTCTTCATTACTGTATCATATTAATTTTCCTTTTCTATCCATTTGAATCAATCAATTTTATTGAGTTCTTTAAAATTAACTTTTTTTATATAATTTTTATACATAAAAATGTTTTAAATAGTGATATTGTGAAGTTACTGATCAGTCATCTAAATATACCATGAACATGATACATTTTAATACATTTTCCAATTTAATATTATATATTAATCAGTGAATATTATTATTCAAAATTTATTATATAAATTTTTAAACTTTAAAAAAGCAAAGTGGTAAATAATGGTTTCATCTAATAGGTAGTTACACATAAATCAACAGATGATTCACCAGATTGATGTTTAACTCTGACAACTAATAAATAAATAAATCAAACTTATCTTTGTATTCTAGTAATATTAAACATAAATAATCAATAATTTCATAAGATGAGATTAAATTTATAAAATGATAAACAAATTGATTTATCATGTTTTTGCACTTTAAATGCATAAAATATATTATTAATTTATCTTAAAATATGGCCATAAATCTAAAATTATTTCTATAAAAATGATGTTTTCATGTTCTTTATATAATTTACTCAAAGTTTCAACTAGGATCTAAAAATTTTCTTTTTCTTTGCAAATAGTTGCCAATATATATATCATAAAAAAACAGAATAAAAATAGTTGATTAAATAAAAAAATTGTTTCAAAACATTTCAAACACATAGAAAAATTAAATATTTAAAAAATTATATTTATAACTTGAGCACAGTTATCGTCTTCAAGATTATATACAAAATGTGATTATATATAAATATTTGAAAATTGTGCATAATAAATTCAATTGATATTCATCATTAAAACATAATTTATATAAAATGTATGAAATATTAAACTATAAAGTGAAACCTTTCTTCTTGTGAAAAAACAGGTGGTCCTTTATGTTTTGCAATTTCTTCATCAGTGTGAACTCCGACAACTAAATAGTCACCTAAAGCTTTTGCTTGTCGAAGAGAATTTGCATGTCCAAAGTGAACCATATCATAACTGTAATGAATATTCATTTAATAATATTAATAATAACAATAATTTTAGCATTGCATAATAATAAGAATATTTAAAGCTAAAATTCAATTTAACATTAACATTAATTATTAAAATCACAATTGAAAATATTGTTTGGAATAGTATCATTTTAACTTAGAGCTCTGACAATCATTTTATTTAAAACTAGAATAAAAAAATTATTTCATCTAGAATTTAGGAAATAACGAACTCCAATTGATAATATAAAAGAAAATTTTCTTCCGATCGTCTCCAGTTATTGTCATTTCATTTCACTTATGTGTTTCCTAACCAGTCACAAACGATACTTTGAAATTTTTTATTTTATTTATCTAAAAGAACTCACCACCCATCGCACCAAACACGGATTTCCTTACGTTTTTCTGTCATGGTGAAATGAAATATTGTAAAGTAATATTTATTATATTTTTCTAATAATTATTCATTAATTTCAATAATTAAATTTCATGAATTGTAGTTAGTCCATATTTAGTTGGAGCGTATTAATTATTATTTATAAAACAAAAATCCATGAATATAAAATAAAGATAATCCATGAACTGTTAGATTAGATAGTTTGTAAAAAAGGAATAACTCTTTTCAAAATCATTTGTTAGTTCGACCTCCAGAAACCCTTTCAAACAAAATAAAATAAGTCTTGACTCTTGACTTGTCGGTCCTAGCACTCAGTCACTCACATTAGAGTTACAATACAATTATAAAAATATGTTTATAAAAAAGATCATTCATAACTATAAAAGCAAATTGTTAGTTCGAGATACAAGCTGATAGTACCCATGTTAAAATTGAGGATAAATCAATTATTTAATTTGATTTTTAATTAAAAATAAAAACTATTTAGATCTATGGGTGCTGACTCACGACCATTCACAAAAGTAGCTCACCTCACCCTGTCCGACCTACATAATTAATGTGAAATATAATAAAAATATACAGATCGATAGATATTTAATTGCTTGATTCGGTTTTGTCTTTCAAATTCTTTATCTATCTATAGTTTCTTTGTAATAAATTAATAACAATAAGCTTACCAGTAGCGACTTTAGACTTCAATATCATTTTTATTATACAATATTTTTATCTTTTTGAAGTTCTAAAAAATTACACTTGAATCGATTTAGGATGCACAGCTTATTATTATATAATATTAAAAAATATATATTTTTTAATATATAATATAATATATATAATATTATATATATATATATATACGTAGTACAGGAATCGCGTAGATGATAGTCTATGTATATAAAAAAATATTTTTTAATATTATATAATAATAAGCTGTGCATCCTAATCGACTCAAGTGTAATTTTTTAAAACTTCAAAAAGATAAAAATATTGTATAATAAAAATGATATATATTGTAACGGGGGTCTGTAAAATGAGAAATTTCTTTAAGAGCAAACTCCCACGATGCAGAGCAAACCCGTTGCAGAGTTAACTCCGTTAACATGTATGTTAATACGTGTATTCGCCTTAACGTCAGCTGCCTTGACTTAGTTGCCTTCGATCAAGCAGAGTTGAACTCACCTTAAGTCACGTGCCTTGTGATACTCGATGAGTTTTAAGTGTAATCGACTTTACTCCTAATCCACTTAATCCCCTAGCTATAATAGGATTAAAACCTAAGCTTTTTCCAATTGTTGAAACTACTAGGAAAAATTATATGACGAAATCGGCGAATAAGTTTAATAGATTTTATTAATAAAAATCTCTACAGTCTTTGTCGGGCCGAAAGACTGACGCACGCGAATAGGATTTACAATTAAATAACTTTCGGTGAGAAAGAGAGAGAGAGAGAGGATACGAAAATTGGCGCGATCTAACGCTCGGCGCGAATACAAAAAATATCAACGCTAACACGGTTGAACAAAATACTAAATATATTTTGTCACGCAGTAATTAAGGGAGGTGCACCTACCCTGCGGTGCAATTACGGTGATCAGCCGTAATTGTTGAAGCAAATTAAAGGTGCTCCTCAGATCCGAATCAGCTGTGCTGCCTCGATTGCAAATCTGCTATATAATTGCTGTCGCTTTTGCTGCTGATTCCGTGATGCTGCTACTGTTGCTGCTTCCTCGCTCACCCTTGCACACGTATCCAAAATCCAAGTAAACTTTTTTATTGGCAAATCGTTGGAACACTGTGCTAAACTATTTTGGCGGTACTACACAAGTAACAGCTGAGACGTAACTGCTAATTCAAAAGATCGCGCGCCCCCTCTCTCTCTCAATACTTAGAACTAACGCGCGAAAATCAGAATCGCGAACGGTTCGATTAATTGTATCGACTACCGTTGCAGCCCCCTCCAAGTCCTGACTACCCAGGCAGGACGAATACCCGCGATTCGCTGCCATCAGGAACCTGAAAGTAATAAAGAAGGAAAGGAAACAAAATAATAACTCCCTTCTTTATTTCGGCTAATTTATTTGCCCTCCAGGGCCTACATCGTCGTTTGGCTACACCTGGCGCGCGATGTTTCGGGTAGCGCCAGGGTGTAGCCTTCTTCGGGCACCGCTGGGAGTTGGTCACCCCAGGCTCCCCACAGATGTAGCAGCCCCTCAGCTGCGACCGAGATTGAGCAGCCTCCCGGTCCTGTGATGGCTGCTCAGCAGCCAGAGGGGAATGCTGGGCACTGACTCCCTGTGAGGCGGTGATGGTCACGCCTCCCACCGTGGCGGTCGCACGTCCATCCTGCGACCTGACCACGATGGTGGTATCAGGAGCCATGCGCCCGTCCACATGGACCGTGAGCGTCGGTCCAGCGTCAGTAGCTCCCGGGGCTCTCTTCTCTTGAGCCGGCGCCGGGAGCGCTGCGGAGGACTCTTGTCCGTTATCCACCCGCAGCTGGGCCTCTCCGTAGGCCCTCTGACGCTGAGCCATCCCTACCCACTCCCCGAGCAGCTCTTCTGCGCCCTGGCGGCTCAAAAAGCGTCTCAGATGCTCCTGCACCTGAGACTGGAGTTCTTGAGTGAACCGCCAGGCACTCTCCACCTCGTTGATCCCCAGACGCACGTGTCTGAAGTCGAGGAGGAGAGTAGGCTGTTCAGGGATCCGGGGATGATTGCACACCCAGTGTGAGGCCCCACAGGTTTCCCTGGGTCCTGGGCATTGGCTCGCACTGTCCGACGTAAGGGTTACGCCGGACTTGAGGGTCTGCACCCCTGGTCAACAGTAGACTTGGGACGTTCGACACTGTCCTGGTCCTCGGTCTGTGTCGAAGCGTCCCGAGAAGCCTTCTTCGGGGCGACCCACGACGAATCCCGGAGATCCTCTGCCACCGAGGCATTGCGTCGATCCCTTCGGGTGGTCCCTTCCAACTGGACCCTGGCGAAGCTCCGCAGATCTTCAATTAGCTGCGTCGCATCAGGGCCCAGTTGCAGATCTAACAGCATCTGCGTGACCACCTCGAAGGTCTCCTCTTCGACGACGATTCTCCGGTCCATCTGAAACATCCAAAACAACAAATTTCGGATGAATCTCCCTGCGCGAAGAAAAAATCCTAATATAAGCCGCATCCCACCGAGTTATACGCTCCCTCGCGATTCTTTGTGGGAACGTCCTGGCCCTCGTCGGTTACCGCTTGGTTTTATCGGCCCAACCGTCCTTTGTACGACGGGCACGGTCTTTCGAGGTCTACCTCTCCCTCTATTCTCCTTCACGGGAGAGTTGTTGCCCCTCGCAGGACCGGTGACCGTCTCTGGAACCTTTCGAGGTCGACCTCGACCTCTCTTAGTTGGGGCGAACACCGGTAAATCCGACGTCTCGGTGGGAACTTTATCTACGGCCGTGGGGGCTGCTAATTGGATCCGCTCGCTATCCGATAAATCCCCTCCCGGATTTTCGCGCGCATTCGCGGAATCGTACGCATCCTCCGACGGCAGTTCATCTGGCGGCTCGCGAGGTTCGATGACCTCCTCGCTTTCCCCATCCTCACCCGGACCGTAATATGGTTTAAGGTCCTTGGTGGAAGAGCTCAGACAGGATCTCCAGCTGATTGCTTAGTCTGTACGTGTTGGAACCACAAACCTCTTCAATCACGTACGGGCCGGCATATTTCGGTGCTAATTTAGCTGAAATACCTCGAGCAGCTGAAGATAGAATCCTGTTCCTCTTCCAAACCCAATCTCCGACCTTAAACTCGGGTTGCCGTCTCTTCATGTCATAATAAGCCGCCTGACGCGCAGCTTCCTCCTTTGACTTGGAGTTAGCTCTCTCCCACAAGTTAGGAAGCTTCTCCATATGTTCGGCCCAATCTTCTACAGCCTGACCCTCCGAACATTCAAGGGCCTGCTGATCTTGGGTTGTTCTGAACGTCAAAGGAGGTACCGGCTGACGCCCAAACATCAGCATCGCAGGACTATATCCGGTGGCGCTATGAGTTGCCGAGTTCAACGCGAAGTTGAACTCTGATAGGTGTTCATCCCAGCTCTTATGATCACGGCTTACGTAATACGATCATGGTCTTGAGTGTCCTGTTTACTCGCTCTGTGGGATTCGCTTGGGGATGATACACGGGAGTCAAAGCGCGGTGGATGCCGTTCATCTGCAGGTATGAATCGACCTCCTGATTCTTAAATTCGGTTCCATTATCCGACAAGAATACCTCTGGCGCACCAAACCTAGTGACGATCCTCTCGTGTAATTCCCTTGCGATTGTCTTCCCATTGGCCTTGCGTATCGCAACACCCTCTACCCAGCGAGTAAACAAGTCTACAAATACTAAGATATACTCAAAACCTCGAGAGCTTTTGGGAAATGGACCAGTAATATCACCGGCCACCACCTGCCAGGGTCGTGATACTTGTCTACGACCCATCAGCCCGCAAGGTGCTCTTTGTTCCACCTTGCACTGCTGACATACCGGGCAACTCTTTACGTACTCCCTGACCTGATCATACATTTTAGGCCAGTAGTACAAGCGCCTAGCCCTTGAGAACGTACGCTCTCGTCCTTGATGTCCTGCAGTAGGAGCATCATGGACTTCCTGGAGCACCTGGTACCTTTTCTCCCTAGGCACCGCAAGCTTTCACGCTTCATCGTTGTCGATGGACCCTTCACCATCCTCATCAGGCTGATAATGATACAGTCTCCCTCCCACCACCTTCCAAGTGGGGTGAGAGTGTGGGTCCTGGCATACTTCCTGGTATTGTTGCAAATACCAGGCGTCAGTGGTCTCCGGCCGACTATTTATAGCCCTCACTTCAATCCCCTCCTCCTCATAGGCCCTAGATAAAGCGTTTGGCACCACATTGAGATCCCCTCTTCGATATTCGATATCGAAGACATTGCCTTGCAATGCTAGCGCCCATCGCGCTAATCTTCCCGTGGGATTTCTCATATTGTGGAGCCATTTCAGGCAACTATGATCAGTGATGAGCTTGAAGTGATGCCCTTCAATATACGGCCGGAACTTTCCAATGGCCCATACCACTGCCAAGCACTCTTTCTCGGAGACCGTATAATTTCTCTCAGCACTGTTGAGTGATCGGCTGGCGTATTCTATTACACGCTCCTCTCCATCGATATCCTGTACGAGAACTGCCCCGATTCCACTGTCACTGGCATCAGTTTGCAGTACAAACTGACCGTTCGGATCGGGTGATTGCAGTATTGTGGCGGAAGTCATCGCCTCCTGCAATCTCGTGAAAGCTCGCTCTTGC